CATATTAAAAATATTGTATAAAATTATCTTCAGGCTATATGTATAAGGTATATTTAAACATAAATGAATTCCTTAGTTAGACTTTGGTCGCATCCCTGGGATATCTCATTGTGTATTTACAAACATTCCCAAATCTGAAAAAAACCCAAAATTCGAAATTCTTCTTGTCACAACATTTGGGATAAGGGATCCTCAACCTATACATGAAATAAATTTTGGTGAAATTGGATCATGGTGATATTGCCCTTACAGTTTACTACTTTTCTGAATTGTTTGATGTTTATTAATAAAGATGTAGTAACATTTAAAAGAATTTTTTCAAGTTGTTGATGGACCTTTATTTTATTTATTTATTTATATGTGGTGCTAAGAATTGAACCCAGTGCCTCACACATGTCAGGCAAGCACTGTACCACTGAGCCATATCCCAGCCCCTATAGTAATATTTTTGATGATACTTTTGTAATATAAAAATACTTTCACAAAAATTACTTTTCTTTCTAATAACTTGTGTATTAGGCAGGGCAGATATCCTTGTACAGACTTAACAGAGTCATGAAAAATTCCAGTTGATACCCTTTATACTCCCTATCCCACAGCCACCCCCACTTGCTGGGAACTGACCTAGGGACCTATATATATGCTAGGCAAACACTCTACTACTGAGCTACATCCTATTCCCTATCTTAAAAAAAAAAAAAAAGAATAGCTTCTTGAAATAAAAATGCATTGAACTTTGGAAACTACAGACTGTTATTGGAACATGTGGCTCTGATCATTTGCTGTTAAGTCTCTAATTTTTTTTTTAAATATTGTCAGACTGAAGTTCTGTTGAGGTGAAGTCAGCCTCCCTCATTTAAGTCATGGAGTAGGGAGGGAGGAAATGAGAGTTAGGTCAAACAGTTGCAGGTATGTAGGATGAACAAATCTAGAGATCTAATGTATACTACGGTAATAATATATTTAGGGATTTTTGCTAAAATATTAAGTATTTTGACACAGGAAAAGGAGGGGTACCTGAAATGATGAATATGTTAATTTGCTTGACTCTAGTAGCCATTTTATTATGTATATACATATCAAAACATGTTATATACCTTAAATATGTAAATTTTAAAAAATCATATCCACAGTAGTGTATTTCCAGAACCTAGTGCAGTGCCTAGATTCTCAATAAAGGTTCAGTAAGTAGGGTAGTGGGGGTACTTCATACCAGGTAGTGTTAGTGAACCTTCCAGACCTTGATGGCAAAATACCTTAGTTGCCTATGTATAAGTAGTATATGTGAGAGATCTGGTTTTCTTTCTCTGTCCTTGCTTTTTCAATTGCAGATAAATTAAGACCTGTTAAATTTGTGCTACATATTTCCAATCTCTTCCTTCTTTACTACCTACCTGGCAAGGTAACCCTTATCTCACCATTGTGTTACTCACCTTTGCTGAGTTCCTTGGGTTTGGGTTCCATAATTTTTCCATTTATTCAAAACAAAAGGACCTGATCTCAGTCATTTTGCTTCCCAACTTCCCCTGGGCTTCCTTTCCCCTGACTGACTGCTCTTTTTTTATTTCAGGTGCTCAGTTTTCCTTCTTTGTTTTGTAACTTATTTTCTCCATCTGAGCAGGGAAAGATTTTGTGTGTGTGGCAAAATGTATATAATAGAAAATTTACTATTTTAATCATTTTTAAGTGTACAATTTAATGGCATATAAACAGAGAAGAATTTATCATCAGGTTCCCTGATCCAAATGGACTGAAAATTTGGCCTCGCTGTAGTTGTGGAGGCTTCTCTCCACAGGGTAGCCAGGATACCTGGCTCCTGGGGGTGAACATACATTTTATCTGCTGTGAATGTCTCCCTGTCTGGGTCATTTGTGTGTCTTTTAATGTCTGTGAGCTGTGTCCCCTTTTTCCACCTATTGTTTTCCTTCTCCTTATCTCAGTTTGAGGCTAGTATTGGCATTAAACCATACATGTTTGTATAGTTCATGTTAATATTCTCTGTTCTTAATTTTAAAAGCAAGGGAATGATTTCATATTTGTTTTTCATGTGGGATTTTTTTAGGGTCATAGAGTCTAAATAAAAGCCAAAAAAAAAAAAAACCATACACACAATTCTCCCTTTTCCATTATAATAGGAAAGACTTGCTTTTATATGGTATAGTTAGGAACCAGCTTTTTGTTTTAAGCAATTAAACAAAAACAAGAATTATTCCTGTAAGATTTTGAAAATGTTAAATTTTACTGAATTACATTAGGGTTTATTTCTGTAATATTCAAATAACATGATGTGGCAGAAAAAAATTAGAAAACCTAGATAAGCTAGGAGGAAAGTGTAACCAACTGTGTTCTGTCATCCAAAGATAACAACTGTGAATACATGCTCTATCTCCCCAGATTTTCATATATCTACTTTTCTAAAGAAAAGGATCAAGTCGTACATTCTATTTTAACTTGTTTTTATTTAATAGTATATCTCAATATCTTTTCCATATCCTTTTAAGCCTGTAAAGAATATTTTGTTAGGGGCTCAGTGGCAGAGCACTTGCCTAGTGTGTGTGAGGCACTAGGTTCAATTCTCAACACCACATATAAATAAATAAAATAAAGGTTCATTGGCAATTTAATATATATATTGTGTTTTTACATTCACATATATATTAATTTTTACATTCACACATATACATATATATTGTGTTTTTACATTCACAGCAAGCTTTTAAAAGCTTTTTATTGATACATAATTTCAAAAAGTTACAAAAATAAAAAGTAAAAGAATACCCATATACTTTTCTCCAGATCATCTATGGTTAACTTTTCTTTCATCCAGATCATTAAGTTGATCTTATATGTGTAAATTTCATGTAGTCATGATATATTATATATTTTTTAAATGATTTGAGCGCAAGTTGCATGCATGATGACTCTTTATCCTTAAATATTTCTGTGTGTATTTCTTGACATTAGGATGTTCTGGTCTTTGTTTGGTTGGTTGGTTGGTTTTTGTTTGTTTGTTTCGGTAATGAGGATCAAACCCAGAGACTTACACTGAGCTACATCCCCAGCCCTTTTTTATTTTTTTTTAAATTTTGAGATAGGGTCTCACTAAGTTGCTTAGGTAGGGCCTTGTTAAGTTGTTTAGACTTCTTTTTAAATTTAACTTAAAAAATTTATTCTAATTATTTGTACATGACAGAATACATTTATGCACTTTGATATATCATACATAAATGGAGCATAATTTTTCATTCTGATTGTACATGTTGCCGAATCACACTGGTCATGCAGTCTTATATATACATATGGTAATAATGTTTGTTTCATTCTACTATTGTCACAAGACTGGCTTTTGAACTCACAATCTTTCTGCTTCAGCTCCCCCAGTTGCTGGGATTACAGGTGTGTGCCACCACATATGGCTTAAGAATGTTCTCTTATATAACCATAGTACAGTTACCAACTTTATAAATTTGACATTGGCATAATATTTTATCCAACCTATTTCTCAGTTGATCTAATAGTCCAACTTCTAGTCTAAATCTAGAGTTTTTTCTTTATTATATATTTTTAGCCTCCTTTCACCTGGAACATTTCCACAGCCTTGCTTTGTTTTTAGCATTTTTGAAGAATTCAGTGCATTTTTGAGGAATAGTTGCATGCACACACCCTTTTTATAAGCAGAGCCTTCTCATGTTTTTCTAACATTTCCTCATGGTCGGATCAGAGTTGTGCACTGGCAGCTAATGAACTGCCTAAGTGATGAATCTTCCTTTTCAGGCCATAGCCTCTAGAAGAATGCAGTGAGTTTTCTCTCATTGGTGATGTTAGTTTTGATCTCTCAAAAGGTATTATCTAATTTCTCCATTGTTCTGGGTTTGTTCTCCCTTGATCTGTGAAGAGGCAGTTTAGCTCTCATGAGGGTATTTTTGTGTGCAGAAAGTTTCAAATTGATATTTATATGGTGATAATCACTGGAGAGTCCTAGTCTTCTGCTGGAGACACTTTAAGACCATGTAAATATTCTGCTTTTTATCAAAAATTTCCACTGGAATTGCATATCCATTGATGATTCTTGCCAGATTTATCTTTACTATGATGAATGCAAAATGATTATTCTCTAGCCCCATCCCTCCTTCTAGTCAATTCTTAGTAGGCTAATGAAGTCATAGTCTTCCCTTTTCTTCCATTTGTTTATCTGTTTATTATCTTTTTGACCTTCATACCCGCCCCATGGTTTATAATTCATTACTAGATTTAATTATTTTGGTTTTCAAACTTCCTGGTATCCCACTTCCTGTCAAGACTGAGCATTTAAAGTCAGAAAAATCTGAGGGATATAATCAGGTATTCTCTTCTACATCCCTTTAACTTCATCCCCACATACCACAGTCCTTGTAGATAATCAAATTCATTGTTTTTTTTAACCTTCACTATGTTTCTTTTCCCTTCTTTCTTACACAAAAGGTAACACACTATACCATACATGCTCTTTTGTATTTGACTTTTTTCACTTCATTGTATCTCAGTAGTCATTCCACATCAGTTCCCAGAGATATTTCTCACTTTTGTTTTTTAAACAGGTACATAGCATTCCATTGGGTACAGACCCATATAAAAGACACAATGTTGACAGCCATAATCCTGAGTATTAAAATTCCAAAAGATAAAAATACCAAAATTTTTGTTTTGGAAAAAATAATTTTTAAAATTCTTTAAAAGACATTTACATTTTAAAGGGAATTTATTTGAGAAACATAAAAAAACACAACATAATACTTCATTGGCCACTTTATAAAATAAAATAGCAATACTGTCAAACATATTTTTGCAAGCTTAAACACTAATGCTAATGCTCAGGATAACAGGTATGAGCAGACAAAGCATATTCATGAAGAAATAGGTCAAAAAGCAAAATGCCTGACACATCACTGTGAATGGTAATTGTGTGCACCCAGCTCTATGACTGAAGTCATCTGAAATACCATAATCAAAAGCCATAATGGATACTTACCTTGCAGGGGAGTTACCATGATCACGAAGGTGTTTTTCCCAGGGTGAGGCATATCCATTACACTGCGATGTGCTGACCCCTGCGATTTTCCCAGATGTGGGAAACTAGACTGCATAATTTGTGGTAGCAGGGAACTGCATTCTTACTCTTCCCCTCTTAAAAGAAAACAGGGGGGGAAAAGCCGTAATAGGTTACCATTACATTTGCAGCTCTCCAAAGTTCTGAGATCTCAAGAATTTTCTTTCACAAATGTAGATATTCAAAAAGGACATCACTTCATTCATTGAAGTTTTGGTGGTTTTAATGTACCTGCACTTATAATATTTATAAAGTCAACATTGTGATAATATACTTTTATAGAGTCATATTTGCAAAAAATATATAAATTAGAACTCTCTAAAAGTCTTACATAATTTATGCCTATAATATTGGAAATGATGCTAACCTGAAATACACAGCATAGCTAATTGTAAAAAGTGAAAAAAAAATTTAACATGTGAGAAAATACTACAGGGATAGATTATGGGTAATTATATAAAGGTAGTCCATAAGAGCAGTCTGACTTTCATGATCTTTATATTTTAAATTATACATTGTGATGAATAGCTGTATTTTTTCCTTTTGGGCAAAGCCGTCCTTAGAGAATATGTTCACATTTTCTATATGATGCTTCTCTTTTTGAAATTCTTCTACAATTTCATATATGCCATGAGTACTCCCTATTTAATTTTCCAATCATTGGTTTGTTTGATGTGCTTTTACATCATATGGGTAATGCACAGATCATTCTACATGCACTTGTTCAGATCACATATTTGGTAATCAAATAGCAATACTTGCTTAAATGTCTTCTTATCCTTCTGTGCACGTACTTATTTTCAAACCAGTCAGTCAAACATCTCTAGCTTCTTTAGGCACATGTGACTTTAATTCATTAAGAGCCCCTGGAATCTCATTATCTGGAAGGAATGCCAATGCAGATAAATGATGGCACTTTTAATCTGAAGTTTCAATTGTTTCTATATGGTGTGGCAAATATCTCATCTGAATTTTCTCCCAAGTGCATTGGGCTTGGAAAAAACAAGCCTTATTGATAACACTTTGAAATTCCCTCTTTGATCAAACTTAATTCCAAAACTGTCTTTACCATTTAGAGATTTCATTGAACTCCGTTTTCTTCTCCAAAGTCTATGAAATCTTCAAATAAGAGTTTAAAAGTACTTCATTTCTTCTAGTCATTAATACATACATGGATAAGTTCTAGAACCTCCAGACCCTACAGGGGCATGAATGGCATATGTTTGATTAAACAAACAAAAACCTAATGGGGATAGCTTTGAAATTGTCATCTATTAACCAAAGTGAAGCACAAACTAGTTTTTCTGTGTTAGATTTAGTGGTAAATGTAAGTGGTTAGGGATTTGACTATTTTCTATGAAGTCAAACACCTAACCAGGAATAGTTCAACAACAGAGGAACCAAGCATCTTTGGTTCAGAAGGTCACTAAGCCTTTCCAATTCTTTTTTCTTTCCTGAAGGGATACATGGGGCTATGTATGAAGGGGCAGAAATAGTACACAATTAAATAACTTGGCAACTGTTCTATGGATAAATCAAAAACACACCGAAGCCCTTCCCCAGAGTTTGATTTTCTTACTCTTTTATATAGTCTTTTAGTTCTATAGCTGCTTTATTTAGTTTTTGTTTGGGGGTTTTATCCAGTAGTGAGAGAGGTATGTTAAAATTACCCAGTATTATTGTATTGTGGTTATTTGTTTCTTGTAATTGAGAAGGGTTTGTTTGATGTACCATAGATGCTCCATTGTTTGGGGCATAAATATTTACAATTTTATTTATTTATTTATTTATTTATTTTTGTTTTATCTTGACATATCATACATTTGAATCAGATGGGATATAATTTCTCATTTTTCTGAGTACAGGTTGCAGAATTACATTGGTCATGCAGTCATGAATATTTACAATTATTATGTCTTGTTGATGTACAATTCCCTTAAGCAGTATGAAATGTCCTTCTTTGTCCTTTTCTGATTAACTTTGGCTTGAAGTCCACTTTATCTGATATGAGGATAGAAACCCCTGTTTGTTTACAAGATCCATGTGAATGACATTTATATAGCCTTTTTTAAAAAATGGGAATTGTGATTTTTAGGATTTTAACATTTGGGGTTTTAATATTTTGGGCTTCTGATTTGGAAGACTTTGATGTTTGGGAATTTCAGCATTTGAAATTATGGCATTCATGATCTTATCCTTTGGGAACCACACTCCATTGTGTGTGTGGTGTGCATGTTATCTTAGTTATTGAGCCAGTCTCCTATGCTTGGATACTTAGGTAGTTTCTAGTATTCTGCCATAACAATCTTGTACTGGATAACCTGTGCATTTGTAATTTAATATCACTGGGGTTGTGTAGGTGGAGTATGAATGAAGGTTGATACATATTTCCAAGTTCCCTTAATTGGGATTATACCTTTGGATATTATACCTTTAGAATTTTTTTTAACATTTTTTTTTTTTTACATTTTCACTAGTGATAAATGGGAGTGACTATTTCTCAAAAGTCACTTCTGAATTTTTGTCAATTTGATGCGTGAGAAACAGAAAAGTTTTGATTCTAATTGAATGTTTTTTGATGTGGTTAAGGGCCATGTTTATATCTTTTTATGAATTATTTGTATTTTTTGTCCACTTTTCTAAAGAATTTTTGTCATTTTTTTCTTCAGTTTTTAAAGATTCTTCATAAATTAGGGATATTAACCAATTGTGACTTACATTATGAATTATGAATATTTTATTCTAGTTTGTAGTATCTTTGACTTTGAAGTGCCTTTTTATCATGTATTTTAAAATTTTTACCTAGTCAAATATATCAAACTTACCTGTCTCTGGGTTTTTTTGTTTGTTTTTTCGTTTGGTACTGGGATTGAACTCGGGGGCACTCAACCACTGAGCCACATCTCCAGCCCTATTTTGTATTTTATTTAGAGACAAGGTCTCACTGAGTTGCTTAGTGCCTTGCTGATGCTGAGGCTGGCTTTGAACTCGTGATCCTGATGCCTCAGCCTCCCGAGCCTCTGGGATTACAAGCAGGCACCAGCTGCCTCTGATTTTTATGCTTGTTTGTTTTTGGGGTTTTGTTTTTCCCTCTAGGATCTGGGAATTGAACCCATGGGTGTTCTACCACTGAGATACTTCCTCAGCTGTTTTTTAAATCTTGAAAC